TGGTACATGTTGGTAACACACAGGGTGTTGGTGCTCCTTTATGGTGCGGCATTTCTCTGAGAGGAAACTTTGTCACAAAAGTAATTTCTTTAATGGAATTTTTTTTTCACGGTTCCTGTCTCTTTGCTATAGCTGTTTTATCACTCAGCATTTTCAACCTGTGTTTGGCTTGTGAGTAGGTATCACTTTGTTTTAAGCATTCATGTACTACACAAATTAAATTCTGTTTTGCAACTGAGTGGTTGACCAAATCGTACACGTGAATATACAAGACAGGGACTAACATTTTCAACTGAGTGGTTGACCAAATCGTACACCTACACACTGTCTGGTGTTCTTAGTACAAACCTGCATGCAACAGGACTAAAGAAGTGAGTGCACACAGGGCATAGTGTGTAGCTCTGATGCACTGTGGTTTAATAATAAACCTACACATCTTGTATCTGCAGCAGAGCAGCGTGGGCTCCAGCCGCTGCAATAGCACTTCACCTAGATCACGCTAACATAACCTTTGATGAGAGAAACACGTACACAAAAATAATGCACAGAAGTACCTGTGTACACACAAAGTATTTACTGTACATGTGCTGGATGAACAGAGCATGGCAATATGTCTGCTTGCATGCTCTGGAGTAATTTTTGTCTATGTGGAATAAAATGTTTTTTCCTGCCTCAGAAAAAAAAAAGTGAAACGAGAGGGGCTAAAAAGGGAACTGGCATGTGGTTCACACGTTGGGGATTTCTCCTCATTGCCTTCTCAAACGTCAGGAGCTGCTGAAGCTCATCTGACCTCTTTGCGAACTGGGTTGGGCTTCCTCTCAGGTGGTACTGAACTGAACCACAGCAGCAGCCTTCAAAAACCCTTGTTTAGGTTGCTGTCATCGTGTTGCTTGACAATCAGGCCTAAACATGCAGGTAGTCAATAAATATATGTTGAGTTTCCAGAGCAAAAGAAGGGCTCTTACATTTTAAACCCCAAAGGCTCTGCAGTTTGTTTTAAGTGATAATCTGAAATAGGGCATCAGTGCTTCTTAGCAGGCAGCTTGTAAAGTCCTGTCCTCTCATTATCAGAAGAATGCAGTAATTTTTGAGATAAAATATAACCACTGACTCTGTGGGTTGTTGTGAAATGTCATCGTTAGCAGTTGTAACTTTTGTACGTGTTTCTCTGTGTATTTTGTCTTAGATTATATTTATATATGACTAGAGCTTTCAAATGACACATGACATTAGTTTCTGTCTAGAACATCACTTCTGTGCCCTATATGCTTATTTATATTTTTGCTTAGATTGAAATAAGAACGGCAATATTTATCCATATGGTATATATGAGGCTACAGCCAGCAGCTGGTTAGGTCAGCTTGGCACAAAGACTAGATAACCCCCTTTATCACCACCACTGACGTTTTACCCTTCAGTTTTGTATATATTAAACAAATGAGACCTAATGTGTCAGTTAATGAACTTTGGAGGTAATGGTGAGCAGACTTTGTTACATTCGGGCAGGGCTGTTTCCAGTTAACTAATTGTGAGCATTTGATGTTTTCCTGGTCTTCTTTGATTATAAATTGATTTGGTTTTGGACTGTTGGTTGGAAAAAAAAACAGGCAATTGTGGGAAATGTTACTAACTTCTAATATTTTAGAAACTAGGGTAACCGAGAGAGTAACCTTGAGATGACTGAATATTGAAAACTGTAAATTGCAGCCCTAAATTATAATACCATACTAGAACATCATAATGGCAGTTGAATGATGTTGAATAATGTTTCACTAATTGTTTTGACACTGGACCTGTCATTGTTGGTGTATTCATTAACCAACACAGTGTACACATCTGCAGGTCACAAGATGCCAGTGAACTGCTACATGAGGATCTGGTTATGGTGAGAAAAAAGAAAATCCTGCTTCTTACCTACAGTTTATACTCTTCTGCTACAATTAATAACATCTTAACAATGGATTTAATTTTAAAGCTTTAGCTGTCTATTGCACTTTAATGCTAAATTTGTCATGAGCATTAGAAGACACTTTTTTAAAAACTGTTATGCCACTGTCTTTTGGGAAACATCTCTTGCTGATAACTTATAACAAAAGGACGATGTAAAACACATTACACATGTATGACCCCCTCCCCCCAAAAACACAAAACAAACAACAACAAAAAAAAACATAAGTTGATAGCATTAGAAAAAGAAACCACTAACTGGAGTTGGTGTTTAGCTCTTTAGCACACAAATGTCAGGCACTGACACATGGAGATACTTTGCTACTGTTTAACACAGAACATTGTCTTTAATGCGTGTCTGGCTGAATAAAGGTGGAGCAACGGGTGGAACCGGCCAAGAAGGCAGCTCAGGTCCTTCACAAGAAGCTGCAGGGCTGCATGCAGAGTCAGATGGGGCTGGAGGCCGAGAAACGAATGGTACTCAGACTGCTACATCCACCAGACGTGTGACAACATTTGATTGGTTGCTGAAAGGTGTGACATGGGCTTGTCTCTCCACAGAAAAAGCTCCCTCTGATGCTGCTGTCTCTCAGCATGGCAGACAGCCTCAGAGACTTCGACGCAGAGTCCTCTATCAGGTGACAGGTTTGATCTATGCTTCCTTCCCTCCGTGCTCTTCACCTGAACTCTTGACTGACAGCCACAACTGCTTTCATGTGAAATGCTTATGACTCCAGTTTGGAGGGTTTAAGGTTTTCAGTTCTGGATGAAAGAGAAAGAGAAAGAAAAGCCCACATGCACATTATAGAGCTTATTTATAGTTATAGTATATAGAAACTGAAGATATAGACATGAATAATAAATAGATGAGTTGTGTGTGTGTGTGGGGGGGTGCAGGAAGGTGCTGGAGATGTGCTGCTTCATGGAGAAGATGTTGGCCAGCATACTGGCAGACTATGAGGTGAAAGTGGAGAAGGAAGTCTTGGAGCCACTCAACAAGCTCAGTGAGGTGAAAATGGCTCCTGCTGCATGTCTTTGAATATGATATACAGTGGCTTCCTAAAGTGTTCAGGCTGCTTTTTGCACACTATTGTGCTGTAGATTTAATTTTAAATGGACAGGCCACCTGGGGTTTGCCAAACAGCATTTATATGATTCTGTGGGCAGCAGGACAAAGATTTCTTTTAGCGTTATATACTTTAATTTGTTAAAATCACAGTGTATTCAGACCCTTTGCTGTGGCTCTCCAAACTGTCATCAGATGTGTCCTGATTGGTTTAATTAATTTGAGTGGAGCTAACCTGTAGCAAACTGAATTGATTGGGCAATTTGGAAACACACACGTAAGGTCCCACAGTTTGCTCTGTATGCCAGGACAAAACCAAGCCTTGAAGTTAGCAATAGATCAGGAAAGGAGAACAAACCCATTTCTAAAGCTCTACATGTTCCCAGAAGCACAGTGGCCTCGATCATTAAGTGGAAGAAGTTTGGAACCACCAGGACTCTTCATAAAGGTGGTCATCCAGTTAAACTGATTAATCAAACAAAAAGGGTCTTGGTCAGGGAGTTGACCAAGAACTGGACAGTCACTCTAACATAACTTGCACACAAAGTGTGCAAAAAGGAACCAGCCGGGGTCAAAACAATACGATTCAAACTACAGCAGCCCTACTATGAGCTCTCTTATACTGTACAGTCCCAGATATTTTAGGCAAATGTACCATTTTATGGTATGGTTTTATGTTGGGTTACATTATATTATCTATTCCCAGTTTATGTTAATATGTAAATATACAAGATGCATATGTTTAAATTCCTGTGTAATTTCTGCCCCCGTTTGTCTGAATAAATCCACAGACAAAAAGCTAAATAGAAATAAAATGACAGATTAAATAATAGACACAATACTTGAAATTAAATAGCTCACAGACAGGAGCAAGTAGTGTTTTCCCCAAGAGGATTATTTTTTATTTTCTTATTTTCCTTTAAGGATGATTTGCCAGAGATTCTCAGGAACAAGAAGCAGTTTACAAAGCTCACTACTGACTGGAACAATGCAAAGATCAGGTGAGTTATACAGCCTCAGTCTCAGACATCTACTCAGCAGGCGCAGTAACTAATTACACATTATATTGTGTGTGTGTGTGTGTGTGTGTGTGTGTGTGTGCGCACATGGGCAGGAGCCAGGCCAGCACTGGTCCACAGGCAAAGCAGGACGGGCTTAGGGAGGAAATGGAAGAAGCTTGGAAAAAGCTGGAGAGCATCAAGGTGCAGGACCAGTGTTTCCTTTTCCAACCCGCTGCAGTGTCACAGCCACCTGTGTGAAATCAGTGGTGTAGTCTTGGCCTTGACCTGTTTTCTGTCTCTGTAGGACCAGTACTCTGCTGATCTTTATCACTTTGCTACCAAAGAAGAGGACTATGCTAGTTACTTCATTCGTGTGAGTTGCAGTTGCACTTTCGAAATGTATGAACAAAAAATTACACAGCAGGTTTCACAGAATGTCTACACACAGCTGTAGTATAACAGGACTGTTTTTAATACCTACTACTTCTCTCTATCTAATTATAGCTTCTTGAGCTACAAGCAGAATACCACAAATTATCACATGAGTTCCTGGACAAAAATATCAGTGAACTTAAAGAGAATCACAATCACAAAGGTGAATTTAGTTTGCACCAGTCTGTGCATTTATTTGCTGTAAAACATCTCCATGTGTTCTTACTTTGTTTGGTGTCTGATTGTTTCAGAGTCAGGGCTAAGCCTCTCTAACCGGAAGGTCTACGGGGTGCCCCTGCTCTCTCATCTGTCTCAGAGCAGCAGAAAAATCGCTGCACCCATCCAGGAGTGTATTGACATGCTGCTAAGAACGGGCATGAACGAGGAGGTAGGGCTGATGGGAGGAGACTGGCAGGTTTACAGTGACAATCACTTGGGTATGGAGGGAAAATTCAGCTAAGCAGTATTTGTTTCTTTTACCTTAGTTCCTCTAAAAGCTCGTATGCACCAGCCCAGCATTCAGCTTTGTTTTACATGAGTCCAACCTGCAGACAACATGAAGATCTAACACTTTTTCATTCTAGCATTGAGGTTCTGTGAGGCTGTACTGTGAGCTAAATACTAATCTTAGAATGCTAACATACAATGACAATACTAACATGCCCATGTGAAGCAGGTAAAGGCCTTACCTTGGTGTTGTAGTTTGTTAGCACTGCTAATTAACCCTAAACACAAAGTACAGCTGAGGTTGATGAGAACATTATTAGTTTGCAGGTATTTTGGAGACTGTGAATATCTGCACAAAATATTCCATCTAAATATTGTTGGACCAGTGTTGTTTACTGACTGACCAACACTGCAGCTCCAGAAGCATATAGTATTGCTAAAATTAATCACGGCAGTTTGGACTCATGGAACTGTAGGTGCTTGTCAAACACTGCAGTAAATCTAAGGATTTATTGAAGAAATGGGAAAACTCAGTTTGTCTTGGGTCGTGTGTATACAGTAATCAGTGGAGGGAGTAACAGATTAGGCCTCTCTTCTTCAGGAATATGAAGGATGTGCAGCTGGTAAAGCAAATTAAGCTCTTTTTGTGTGCATTATTTGCAGACTATTAATGGGATATGTCTGACACAAGCTCAGCTTTGTTTGCATTTGGCCATGATGAAAATCCTTACAAGACCTGGCCTTATTTAATAGACTTAATCTTGGCACGACTGGTCTTGAGTGCAGTGTTACAGATATCCAGCTCCCCCACTTCATCACTCTTCTTCTTCTCTTTGTCTCATTCCTCACTGCTGTTCAGGGCCTGTTTCGTTTGGCAGCGGCAGCCTCTGTGGTGAAGAGGCTGAAGACTTGTTTGGATCAAGGAACAGTCGACCACAGCGAGTTCAGCATGGACCCTCACGCTGTGGCTGGTAGGGATGTATCCACTTCTTTTTTCCTTATATTTCTACCTGGTGGAGGTAAAGTTTCTGTGATGTATGCTCTTCCTTATCTGTTCAGCCGATGTGACTTTCATTGCTCATTTAAATTACCCAGTTCCTCTTAATTCAGCTTCCAGTAATGTAAAATACATCACTTCCCATGCACTGGAGAATTTGTAGGAGAAATAAAATCTTTCATGAGTCAGATGTACCAAAATCACTATTTTTATTACAGTTAGATGTGACCATTATTATAGATCAATAAATATTATTTATCTAACAATATAAAAATGCACAGTACTGTAATTCATTAACTGATTATTTAAACACAATTGTGATTATGGACATTCATCTCTGATGATGTTACGACAGGAGCGTTGAAGTGTTACCTGCGAGAACTTCCTGAACCTCTAATGACCTTTGAACTCTACAATGACTGGTTTAAAGCAGCAGCGTGAGTATATTAATTACACTCGATATACAATATTTCTAATGATTTCTGCGGTTCCAAGTCAGTTTCTTGAGTTTGAGCTCTACCTTTGCAGGGAAAAAGACTTGTCAGAGAAGCTGGAGCAGTTCAGAGCACTACTGAATAAACTGCCACCTGAAAACTACAACAACCTCAGGTGTGTACTCGTTATGTGCATTCTTTTCCCCCAGTGATCACGTGATCAAACATCTTTGTGTTCCATTTCAGGGTCAAAGCATTTTCTTATGTCAACTTGAACACACTGCATTTTTAATCATGCTAGCAGCATGGTTCTGAGGATGGCAGTGTCACTCTTGATTGATCCACCACTTTGGTCCAGATTGAAATACCTTAACAATATTGTACAGACTTTGGTGAACTTTAGTCTTAGCGAAGTTAAGTGTTTAATGCCATTGTCATTAGCAAATGTTAGCAGCTATGTAGCTAGCACACCTAACAAAGATGAGGAACAGGAACATGATACCTGCTAAATGTCAATGTTAGCAACATTGTGATCATAAGCACGTTAACACACAAAACACACTGTTGAAAGTCATCACATTTGGATGTCTCAGTTTCCACCTGTCTGCAATAATTTGTCATCCAGTGCACACTCTTTTACTGCTAACATGCTGCTGACCTGATAGGTCCCATACATCCCTTTTTATTTGTTCATACTTTTATATTGACTTATACAATTTTGTGTTATGTAAATAATGTGTCTTTTAAGCCAAGAGCTTGTTAGACCCCCTGGACAATAACAATGTACCTGTGTAATCTTCTCTGGCGTCCTGCGTCTCCTTTCTCCACCCACTCTACTTTGTTTCATCCTCTTTCTCCTTTTCAGGTACCTGGTCCAGTTCTTGTCTCGGTTGTCTGAGCAGCAGGCTGTAAACAAGATGACACCCAGTAACATTGCCATTGTCTTGGGGCCCAACCTGCTCTGGCCACAGGCTGAAGGGTACATATTACAATGGCTATTTTTCTGCCTTTATTCTGTTACTGTCATCGATCATTCATTCATGTTCCCATCCTGCTTGCTCATCTGCTTACATCTGCTTTGTGTCTTCAGGGAAGCTGCTCTGTTCGACATGGCATCAGCTTCTTCAGTCCAGGTGGTCACTGTGATTGAGCCTCTTATTCAGAACAGCTCCAGCCTCTTCCCTGAAGGTATAAAACCCTCATGTACTGTATGTCCTTTACTTCAGGTCTAGTAGACAAGCCAACAGTTCCTTATCTGTTATCTAAATTAAAATGATTCTCAAACTTTTCATTGCTTATTGTGACTAATCTGTTGCTGACTGTTGTGTAGCTGGAAAACATCCTTGAGAGCATGTTGCCTATGCTATGAACACAGGCAACTGTGGGCAGCTGCACCATAGCTGCATATTTTACAGGGTTTTTAATATGGTAACGCAGCACCCGCTCTAGAAACCACTAATCTAAACAGCTTTATTTAAGGTAAACCTGAAAATAAGTGCACCCACTGCACAGGAAATGTTAAAAGCTACTGCAAGAGCAGCAGGTCAGTGTTGAACTACGATGTCTGCCTGTAAACTGTGAACGGCTGTAATATGACTTTTCCAAATACATTTAGTTTACAAGTTTAAAACTTGTATGATGATTAACTGCTTGTATTTCTGAAACAACCGGGCTTCTTGTTGAGTCACAGAATTTCCAGATCTTAGCCATCAACTAGGTGCAATGTTATTGTTACCGATGGAAGTTATGACCAGGATGAAAGCAAACAAACCGAACAGTTTTATTATCTTCAATTATATGGTAAAGGGCTGTCTCTATTGCTTTGTTTTGTTCAGCTGTAGCCTTTGAGATCCCAGACGAACCTGAGCTCCCAGATGTGACCCCCGTTGCTCAGTCGCTGGTCTCAGTAAAGGACAAACTGAGCCGAACAGTCTCCTCTTCATCTTCAGCCTCCTCCTGCTCCTCCTATCATACCGCTCTTTCCAAGGCAAACAGGTAGTGCTCACAGTGCAGCCTTAAAGATGGTTAAAGATGGTTCAGGTTTGCACATCAGTGCTTCCAAGTGGCAGCATGAGGTAGCAGTCTGGAAAAGTTAGACTAAGGTATTCATCTTTATCTTTTTCTGTTCATCAGCACAGCCTCTCAGGACAGTGCCGGCTTCCTAGTGAAATCTGGTTCTGTGAGCCGCAGTGGCACCACCACCTGGATCAGCCCTGCATCTGAGATGGCAGCACCAGCACACCCAAGCACATCAACCAGCTTGTCCTCCATCAGTCCCAGTCCTGTTGAGGTTTCTACTTCTTGCATCTCGACAGCAACTCAGAACCCGTTCCCGCCTCCGAAAGCAACAGGAACGGTGCCAAACCAGGGTCCCATACACAGGCAGTGCTCGGATCAGGGCCAGCTGGAGCCAATTTTGGAGGCACCTCCACACTCTCCCACGGCATCAGTGACGATCAACACACCATTTAAATGTGAGTCACAGTCCTCTGAGCCCAGGGGCTATCCCAGAGTGCATTCAAACAAATGCAGTCTGGAATAAAGTATTTGAAATCTGGAACACTTTCACCAATGTTTTATGTAATTGAGCCATGTGAGAGCCATGCTGTTTCAAAGCCAAATAACACTTAACCACAGCAAGAAATTAAAACCTCAACATATGGGTGTGTTCCCATATCAGTTGTTGGCATTTTTAGTAGTCACACGGGCGCTGCAGATTTTTAGGGCTCACAAAAACAAAAAGTCAGAATGATGCAGAAGAAACAAAGTTTTGAACTTTTATATTTCAGTCCTTTGTACAGGTCAAGCTCCAAAATCATGGGAGGCTATGTTTCCCCATTTAGAAAGCTCATTTCAGAGCCACAGAAAACGTTATACAGCACTTCTCTCAGGTTGAGTAGTACTTCTTATGTCAAGTAAAGCATTCTGTAGGTGTAAAATTAGTGGAGTGTCCCAAAATGCCTTGTCCTACTGCAGCAGCAGCCCCTTCGTTGCTTGTTGTTTTAGGGTTGAGGGCAGGCAGGTCCCTTTATTTTTGTCTCTATCTATTGTATAAAACCTTTATGGATTCTTTGCTTCTGTTTCCTCTCGCAAAGCCAAAGTGGCGGCTTGTTGGTGAAAGTTGACAAAGAGAAAATAAATCTACTGCTCCTGTTGTAACAAATAGGAAGTACACAGGAAACAGGAAGACTCACACCATTGACCAAAATATCTGCCTTTATGGTAACACATCATCTCTCATGCTGTTGTAACTGGCTCACAGCTAAGTTAGAGGCTGAAATAATTTCCCTTAAGTCATCTCAGCCTGATATAGACTTATTTAAATGTACTGTTCCTGATATTGTATTAAGTACTTCCTCAGTGACTTTACTGTTATTTATTGTGATATTTTGTAATATACTCTAAACTACAACATTGCAGTTTGTCTTTCAGGTTTACTTTCCTTACAAAATAGAATTTCAATGCACTGTGGCCACATGTGGCGGGTTTGGGATAATCCTGCTAAATGAATGTAATGCAGCAGTCGTAGAGTAATAAAATATCATCTGTTACACGACTGTCTTTGAAAACCTAGCTAGCACCATATGCTACTGGTCACAACAGACCAATTAGAGCGGTTTTATTACATCGGGATCTTTCATTTGTAAGACTAAATGTTGCTTTACATTTTTACCATCAAGCATGTACACGGTAGTAGACAGTCTTCATTTTCAGTTACACAAATAATATCTATATTCTACTGTCTTTCATCACAGTCTTCTTCTTTCTCTGATCGCTCTTAAGTAAGTTCCTTATATTTCCACTTTCTTTTTTTTTTTCTTGTAAAGCAAAAAGATGCTTCATCCCCAGCAAAGCTAAGGAGCAGGTGATAGTTCAGTACACCAACCCGAGAGTCCCGGGACCTCCCAAGCTCCATCCCCCTCCTCCCCCACCCACAGTCCCAGTTGCTGTGGACACCAGGACCCAGCCGACACCCGCACCGCGAACATCCACTCACAGAAAGCCTCCGCCAAAAAAGCCTGGAGTCAAAGCCCCAAAATGTCCTCCACCACTTCCTCCACCATCACATGCAAAAGAAGTTCCTGGTTAGTCACAAGCAGCTGCAAATTACCCTTAGATACATTTGTATTGTTCAGTATAGTCAAACTGTGCTATTCCATGCCTTCCACAATTTATTTTGAGTTGAAGTTTTGCAGCATGATGTACTTTTTCTGGTCTAATTGTGTTTTTCATAACCAATATCATTTATTTATTTGTTAGTGAAGCCCTATATTTCCTCAAATGCAACATGTGCAAAAAAGGCTTTTTTTGGTATTTAAAAAACACAACACAATAAATTAATCCACTTTGCCAAACACATTTTAGGGTGGATTTTATGATAAGTCTACACAAGAGTAGTATTCATGTAAGCTAATTAAGTATGAAAAAATTACTGTGAACCTTGAGGCTGAAGTGGAATTTGACTTCAAGTGATACTTCACCCAAAGTTTGTCCTTCACAGAGGACAGCGGCCGTGGTAGAAGTGAATCAGATGCAACAGATTCCAATAAAGACTTTGTTTCAACTGGTTTTCAGGATTTTGGGTGGAATGTCACTTTAAACTGACCTTAGATGTTAAACATGAACCTTTATGCAAATAAAAGGATATTCAACCTAATTAAAAACATCTTTATTTTAACTTTTTATCATTGTAGTATATAATTGGTGTTGACTGCAACATATGGATGTGAATTGCATTATGTACTGCTGGTGCTCATGCTCTACATACTGTATGTATAGGGGGTCAGTTGATATCTTCGTGTACAGTTGTGTAAAAGGACACAAATGTTCATTCTTTTATAAAAAGCAATATAGAAGTTGGAGTCAGAGGGTGCACTGAGTATCTGTGTAGAAGGTCTGCAGCATCAAGTGAACAATTACACAATACAGTTCAGGCTTTAGTTGCATCTAGCAAACACTAGTATTAACTTGTCATATTTTATCAGTTTAATAACAGATGTCTCTGGTTTATTTTAAAACTGATGCTGACGCTGCAAATGTCTCATTAATTCTCTTCCCCTTTTCTTTCTTGGTAGTGTATTCCTGAGTAAAAACTTGACAAGAAATTGTGAAATTAAGCCTGTTTTTCTCCACTTCCTGTCTGTGTTTTGGTTATTGACCAGGACTTAAAAGGATGTGTAACTTATACTTTGAGTAATGTTGGCATTTTCTTTGTGATGCCTGCAATCTTGACCACATTCTCTTCACTGCCCACATCTCTCCTTTGCTTCAGTCTTTTTTTTTTAAGTCATGATCTTTGGACCAAACAGCAGTCTCCATTTCTGTGTGCCAAGCTTCTAAACTTGCATTAAGTCTTTCACTCCTTTCAGATACATTCAGCAGCAGATTTGCATCAAAGCTGTACATCCTTGAAGCATGATTGTATAAAGGTAAAGGATCCAATATAAAGTATACTTGATTCATGTTGTAGTTTCACTGTCACCCTGTCAACAGAGCCAGCCTCGTTGACCATAAGAGATTTAAGGTGATTGGTAATACAGAGCTATCATACATTAGATAAAGACAGTTTTAATTTAGTGAGACAATATCTCTGCTTTGCTCAGCTCAGACTTTGATTTCATCTTCATCATCCATGTAGCTGTAGGACATCTTCTTGGGCTGGCTGATCATCATCTCTGAATCTGCAGCCTCCATCCTGCTCTGTGCATACAGGCTGACACCATAGTGGCGTGCGAGCACATCTGTAGCGCTCTGGAACCGCTCGCTCTCCATTGCTATCCCCAGCCTCTCTTGCTCAGGTGACCCCATCACCACATCAGGCACTTTGACAGAAAGCCCACCTCTGTTCATGCTTCTCTGCTCCTCTTGCCAGTCGGCCCCATATGGGCTTGTCCTGCCCCCACAGTCCTCCCTCAGCAGCGAATCCACGTATGAGATGGTAGCTGAGTCCATCTCCGACCCCTCATGAGTAAGCTCGCACGCCAACTCCGGCTCCTTTCCCTCCCAGGCATGGACATCAATCAGGCCAAACACCTCACTCATGAGGGAGGGGCCGAGGTCAAAGTTAAAGGCGTCCAGGGACGTCAGGGAGGGGAGGGAGTCGGAGTAGGCAGTGGGTTTGGGGTCAGAGGCCACGATGGAGGTGGAGCAAGTGGAAAGGATGGCATCAGTGGGATCGGTTAGAGAGCCTCGGTGGATGTTGGGGGAACAGGAAGTGGGGAGGGAGATGGAGGGCTGTTGACGCTCAGAGCGGGAGAGACGAGGCAGAGTGACAAAACCAGACTCCAGGCCTGAGAAGCAGACACAGGCGTTAATGTATGAAATTCAGTGGGAGGTGTTATGTACTTTTTTGACTGTATTGTAGTTTTCAAAGAAATAGTTCAACTTCTTGGGAAATTAGCTTTTTTGTTGTCTTACTAAGTATTAGATGAGACAACTCATGCCTGCAAGGTAAATATGAAACTACAGCCAGTAGCTTTCATATTTAGCTTAGCATAAAGACTGGAAACAGGGAATGAGCTAGCCTGCCTTTGTCCAGAGTTAACAAAACCCACCTACCAGCACATCTAAAGCTATAAATATAAGAAAGGCAAGCTGTAGTTTTACTGGGATTCAGCAAGAAAAGAACTAAGTACATTTACAAAAAGTATTCACGATGCCAAAAAATGTATTTGATTCCAGTAGGGGGCGATGTAAACCCATCTGAGAACATCCTGATCTGATGGTGACTAGCGCGGCAAGAAGCGGCTTTGCTCTGTGACTCTGCCAGATCACTTAACAAGCCCCACATTAACACTCTGCCGCCTTCATGACCCAAACGGGTAAATTACCACAGCACTTCTCAATGCCAGCTGTAAAAGGCAGAGAGTCTGGTGGTTTTTCATACCAGCCAAGAGTCTGATGCCTTTCTTACTCTATTTAACCAGAGGGTAAGAAAGAATTCCTTAGTGAGAACAGTTTATGGAGCATTTGGTGGAATGAAAATCTGTCACATTTGTGTATCATAATGCTTAATTACTGGGAATAAAGAAGTTTCAGTTATCACTAAAAAGCAAGCTGGGTATTATGAGCTTGCTGACAATTTGATAGAAAATGTCTTTAATGTCTTTTCCACATGAGAACACATAGAATTAAAATGTATTCTCTTATGCTTACCTGATCCAAAATGTAATTAACCAGGAAATACCAAAACTCAGTCAAGTATTCATAGTTTGACATTTTGGAAAATACTGTGTCATATGTATATTTGATTTCTTACTGAGAGAAGATCAGTATAACTCCTGTATCTGTACACTAACAAGGTCAGTTTAGCTTATAAAGAGTGAAACTGAGGATAAATGGTTAACTTGGCTTTCTCTAAAGTTAATGAAATTTACCTACCAGCAGCTTTAAAGTCCAATATTTAAAAGGTTACATCTTGGTTGAATAAATCCTGACAAAAACAGAAATCTAAAAATGACAAGTGATGGTCTGACATGGGACAGAACTAGGCTAGCTGTTTCCCATTCCCAACACTTATGCCCGGCTAATGTTTCATAGCTGAGTGGTACCAGTCTTCCCATACAGACATAAGTATAGCTACCAAAATGCTGAACTGTTTCTGGAGCTGTCATGTCTGGATAAGAAGAGAATTTACAAGCTCAAAAAATGTACTTTCTTCTGTGTAGCATTTTGGTCTTACATTACGCACTTCAGACACGTGTAAGGGCGAGGTGAGCTTGCGTGAGCCACTGAGCATGGTGTTAGTATGGGCCACTCAAACAGCCTGTCAGACAGCTTGCTGCCAGCTCTGTCTGAATCTCTGCGTTGTCATTGTGAGCACTGCTGATTATGAACCAAGGTGGTTCATAAGGACATCTGGGGCAAGTCTGTCCCCACAGTGCTGGGCAGAAATGATGGATTAGTCTCATGCAGCTCCACAGATTTTTGCCACTTCTGTCCAGTTTCCAACTCATTTGCCTTTTGCTCATGTGTTTTGCTTTATTTTGCAATTGTGACATTCAATTTAAATGGAAACCTCTCCCCTAATCCTAAGGACAATTTGGGGATTTGGTGGTGTACTTTGCTTAATCTTTTAATAACTGGGTAAAAATAGGTGAAATGACATCAAGAAATTTCCACTAAAAATATGTTGGACTGTTTCAGCAATCCCAATTTTGTATAACTTTGAGTAACAACAAGAAATCAGATTTTCTGGCCACTTAGCTGCATCATCAACACTATAACACTGACATATACAGTATTATGTCATGCAGGTGAAGAAGACGTTTTAGCCAACTTTAACCACATCCAGCAGAGTGTTTGGGTCACCTAGCAAATGTAAGTTCAATATTCACTCTCTCCTAGTTCTGTTTTCACCACACTCACCATATGAGCTTTTTTTCTCCTCTAGTGTACTTGGAGAACTGGGGAACAGCACTTTGGTGGTGGGACTCCCATTAGGCATATCTACATCCAGCCTGGGGAGGGAGATGGCATTCTTGATGATGGGAGAAATGGTGGGAGGTGGCGGCGACAGATCCTTGGATCCTTCTCTTGTTCGATTGTCCGAGCCCCTTCTGATTTGACGGAGCGTCCTGGAAAAGAACGCTCCGATCTTGTTGTCGGGACTGGAGACAGAATCCGTTTCCCCGCTATTCCCGTTGGCTGTCCCACCGTGGTTGCTGAGGAAAGAGGTGTCCCCGAACACATCACCACCGCGGCCCACGTGCATAGTGTGCCGGAAGTCTCCCAGAGGAGGGCTGATCATTTCCGCTGTAAGGTCGGCTTTAAAGCGTCGCTTGCTGTGGGAGTGTGAGACCAGACCTTTCAGGCCTGACAGCTTCTCCTGAAGATTCATGCTCACAAGAGGTGACTGGCTAAATAGGTCTTGAAAATCCACCTGAAACAATGTCTTGAATTCCCTTTAATCCAACTATATGGCAACCATGAACTACAAAGTTCAACTTATCTTCTTTTAGATTTATACAAAAATCGCTGACAGCTCAGCAGTCAAAAGTATGGACCTAGAAAACAGCTCGGAGACGTTATTCCAAAATTCTGAAGCCGTGTAATTTTGAAAGATGGAAAACTGAACTCCAGGCCTGCAGTTACAAATTGTTCACTGGAATATTATCTCTGTTTATCATGTGCAGGCCAAACTCTGTCCTGCTCTTTGTAGCTTGTTGTTATGCATGGCTGGCTGTATTAAACAGATATAAATTGAGAAGAACACTATGCAGTCGTGTTCCTGGAGGCAGCTGGGCCAGCTGGAGTGTGGTCAGGTTGCCTGGCTTGCTTTGGGCTTTGGCTTGGTTGACATCAGCTCAGAAATAGGTCTGGGTCCAGCTGCAAATGGTTCTGCGGTGGCACCGTGGAGCCATCTATTGAGAGGAAAAACAGGAAAAAACATTTATGTTTAAAATATAGACAGGGATGTATTTGATTTTGAGGGATGTTGAGAGATGTGGATAACATTTACATTTTTTTCTGTGGAAGTTGAGATCCAGTGAGAGACCACTCTGCTTTCCTATTCTGAATGCTGTATGTACTTGTAAAGTAACCTCACTGCATTTGGACAGAGCTGCCTTTCCGCAGGTTTTTTGGATTCCGCGTTCCAAAGGTCCGCTGGTCTGGAACCATCTAAATTTAGACCGCAGTCACTCCTCTGTGCAACCAACCAAAGTCTGCCTCTT